CAGCAGCAGCAGCGGCAGCAGCAGCGGGGGTTTCTGGAGAAGAAGCAAGACTGGCAGCAGCGGGCTCGGAGGTACAAGCAGCAGCAGCAGCTGCTGCAGCATCTAGCTGAAAAAGCAAGAGCAGCAAACCCTCACGAGTTTAGCTGCGACTTCTTTAGGGTTCGCCAGGAGGGGGGCCCCCTGGGGGCCCCCCGCAGCAAAGAAAGGGGAGTTTTGCTGCTGGCCGAGAGGGATGCTGCTGCTGCTGTTGCTGCTGCTGCTGCAAAGTCCCCCGCTGCAGCAGCAGCAGCAGCAGCAGACGCCCTCCGCGCCGCAGCCCGCAGCAGCTTCGTCTCCCAGCGCAGCCACAGGAAGCAGCAGCAGACCAAGAAGCAGCTGCTGCTGCTGCAGCAGCGGGCCACCACAACTGCTGCTGCGCTGCTGCAGCTCAAGCAGCAAACCCTGCAAAAGAGACTCAAAGGAGCAGCAGCAAATCTGTCTCGGGGTTTTGCTGCTGGAGTTAAGAGGCAGCATTGTCTCTTTGAGTCAGACACAGAAGCAGCAGACTCCGACGAAGAATCCGAGCAGCAGCAGCAGCAGCAGCAGGAGCAAGCAGCAGCAGCAGCAGCAGCAGCAGCAGATACGTCGGACGAGAGTGAGAGCGAGTCCGAGTGCCGCTGGATGCAGCTGGCTAAGAAGCCAAAGGGAAAACCAGCAGCAGCAGCAGCAGCAGCAGCAGCAGCAGCAGGGAGCAGCGGCTCGGCCAGCGAGGCGGAGAGCGAAGCAGCAGAAGAAGGAAGCAGCAGCAGCAGCAAAACGTTCCAGAGTATGCACAAGACGCTGCTGCATGCGAAGCGGCTGCAGCAGCTGCAGCAGCAGCTGCAGCAGCAAAGCGACAGCCAAAAGAAAGGCCGCAGGAAGCAGCTGCTGCTGCAGCAGCCCGATGGAAAGAAAATTAAAGTTACAAGATGGTTTGCAGAAAGAAAAAGATAAAGCAGCGGCAGCACCGAGGGTTTAGGGTTTATGGTTTAGGGTTTGGCAGGTGGGGCCACGCCAGTGGGCACCTGCCGAGGGTTTAGGGTTTAGGGTTTAGGGTTTAGAGACAGAGCGCAGCTCTCGTCTCTCCCCGGAAGCCCAAAGGAACAACCTCGGAACGGCCATGCTTTTCTTTGCTTCGCAGCAGCAGCAGCAGCAGCAACTGCAGCAGCAGCAGCAGCAGCGGCAGCAGCAGCAGCAGCAACTGCAGCAGCAGCAGCAGCAGGAGAGAGCAGTGCACGCTTAGCCGCTGTCGCTGAGTCTCCCCAAATAGTAAAGGGTTGCACAGCTAGCGAGCCAGCTAGCTAGCTAGCTAGCTGGCTAGCTCGCCAGCTAGCTAGCTGGCTAGCTAGCCAGCTAGCTAGCTAGCTAG